GACCCAGTCAAGATCATTGTGAGCACTTGTTCTTGTGCTCAGAGTTGTAAGACTGTATCCATTTATTTGGCTTAATCATCATGTTTTAAAAATAGCTCAAAGAACTTGAATTTGAGAATTCCCATGGATGAAAAGTGCATCAAAGCCTCTAACAAGACGCTTAAAAAGTTCTGGCCTTAACTTAAAGTCACAGGGTCACTTTTGTCTGCTAGAACAAGGAGCCCTCTGTAATCAGCATTCTTTTCCACATAGACTGAGCAGGAGTTTGTGGCTTTTCAATTTTCTTTTTCTTTGGTAAATTGCAGAGACTGAGTAGAGAGTGAACTCGAGCCTTTCACTTCAAGCTGTTTCACTCTTTTGTCACTCTTGTGGTCCTCGAAGGCCTCTCCAGCATATCAATGTCTCACTTGAATTGGGGATGCCAGAACAGGATGCTTTATTCCAATGGCAGGTGCAAAAGTGCCAAGTCCAGGACAGAATGTAACCAACCTTCTCCTAATGACGTTATTTATGCACTAACTCTCTCGGCCATGAAGTTGCAGCAGGAGTTTCTGTGGTTCCTGTGCAGTTGATGCACAGCTTCCTGAGGTGCAAACAGACACGGTGCTGTGTCTGTTGTTGGATACACACCTGCTCCTGTAGCCGTAAGGCAATGGCTGTCTCACGGGTTAGCTAAGGAAACATCATGTCTGGTCTTTTAATTATTTGCTATTTTTTTAGGTATTAATTTCACTCAAATCCTTGTTAAGAACGTTACCCTTGTCTGTGATGTGTTCCCTGAAGCCCCAGTTAGGAATACTGTGATGATTCCCCGTTTACGGCGAAGGGGCAGGTGGCACCTCCTTCACACTGCTGATGGTTTCATGGCTGAATAGGCCACAAGAGACACGAGCTAGGATGGGTAATTCAAAGACTGAATTTCTTTCGTGTCTGCTTTTGAGTTAAAGCACATTAGGGGAAAGTTCTGTTGGGGAATACACATTGCTGCTGATTGTACCATTTTTCTTTTGTGGCTTAACTGAGTGCTATATTTTCCAGAGCTGCCAGTGTTTCTTGGAGTGCTTGGTTTCAGTGTTGAAAAGAAATGACTGAATAATGCAAAACACCAATAAAAACCAAAAAATGTGTCTATAGCTTTCACAGCATCCCACCTTACACTTGTCTCTGTACTAACCAGTGCATGGCTTTCTACGTAGCACTCGACGCAAGCAGCTGTTTCTCCACACCTGTGCTCTGTCTCCCTGTTGCCTGTCTAATATCTTATCTCCTTATCCCTGTATATTGGCCGTGTCCAGTGCAAGTCCTGGATTCCACTGAATTTCTGTGCGTCCTGGGGAGCAGATGCTAGACATCTGGCTACAAATTGAATAGAAGTCATATCTGCTGGTCAGCTGGCTGGTGCCTTCTCATCCTTGGTGAGGCAGTGACGTCTAATATTTGAACCATGAATAAAACACCTGGTTTGAACGTTAGATAAAGTACATTTGTTTTTTTTCCAAACGTTTTTTCTGAAAGCAAACTTGGGTTGTGGTATTTCAGCTCTGAGAAGCTGCTAGCTCTGTGCCAGTGGAAGGGGCATTTGGAGCTGGTTGCATGGCTGCACTGGTGCAGGATCCAGGCTTATCCCTCGCCCTGCAGTGCGTACACGCTTCGCACGCGCTCGTCCTTCGTGCTGGTGAGTGTTGTGACCTGGGAGGACCTCCCTTTTGGGTTGTCCGAGTTACTGGCGCAAACTAGGGGGTGCAAGTATTGTTTGGTCAGTGGGGTACAGTGTTCTCCTGGGGACCTGGGCAGAATCCTACAAGGGAGGGCTAGTTTAGGAGACTTAGTGTTGGTTATCATGCTGCTCATGATGACCTGCTTGTAGAGCCATTTTATCAGTAGCTGGTTTGGGGATTGTCTGTGGGAGTAATTGATTCTGGTGGTGTCCTTCAGCACAGTGTGTGTTGTTAGCACCCACCGAGGTTGGACAGGAGAGACACAAACCCATGTCCTGTTCGCTGTTGTGCAGGAGATATGGACATGTCTTTAGGGTAGCTTTAGTGTTGTGTTTTGATTGTGAATTGGTGAACTCTTTGCATTACCTCAGGCATCTTGTATTAGAGGAGAAGTTACTATTAAGTCTAACCTTTTTCAGAGTGTGAAATGACTGGCTGTACCTAGCTTTTCACATGTGCTGGAAGCATTAGCTCACAGAGTAGATCTGTGTGTGTATGTAAGAGATAACATCTGGATGAAGTTTAAGTAATACAGCAATGGCTACAGCAGACTGTGCTTCCTGTCCTAATAGCACAAACTACTGCAGAGCCTGAGCATGATTTGTATTGTATCTCCTGACAGGGTAGTCATCTCCTTAATGAGAAAGAGAGGAACTTACTAGTATCGATCTGATTTATTGTTCAGCTTTCCATTGTACTTGTGTAAAAGCTTTAGAAATCAACCAGATCAGACTTAGGTGCTTCATTTCCATGAATTCCACTGTTGCTTGAAACTGTGGTATCCTTGTCTGTAGTTTTCACTACATTTATTTTGAGTCCTGATTCAGGACTTGCAGATAGATTGCCTCTAGGCTGAGGGGAAGAATTAAACGAGCTCTGTCCCTGCAGGTATGTCTGCATTTCTCTTTTGCTGGGAAATAATCACTTCACGTATTAACAGACTATCTAGTGGCCTTTTCTGTTTGAGAGAGGAAAAGTGTCTTTTAGGACTCATTGCAGTTCAGTAACAAGATATAAAGCAACATAGAGCTCAAAAGACAGAGTTTGTTTAAAACAGTATTTACTCTTCATGCGGAAAAATAAAATGCTAACTAAGTCATGCCAGTGATATGATTAATATGGTTCTTTTTTCTTCCTCATTGCCTGTGCACAGCTTGCAGTAATGGTAGTGGAAAATAGGATGTATGAGGAATAATTTTATTTTAAGAGTAACCCCACTTTGCTGCTGGGATCACTGGGGTCTTACAGGGCCACCCTGCTGCACCTGTGCACTACAGGCAGCTGAGGTGCTCATCCTGACTGAGCGTGGCAGTGCGTTTTGATCCGGTGAAGTGTTTAATTGAGAAACAATGTTGTTGAGAGGAGTGTGATGACACTTCTGCACTCTGTGCTATCAGTGGATTCTGTTGGGTCATCTGATCTCTGCTAGTCATGGATGAACCCTTCTCCTTCCCCCAACCTCTCATTGCCCCCAGATTAGCAGTCTTGGGTTGTTAGTTTGCTTTAATGTAGTGAACAATCCCTCTTAACAATGAAGAGGATACAGAACGTGTTGTTGAAAGCATGCCAATGATGAAGAATTAGTTAGACTCTATTTGAGTCTAGCTCCTCAGCCTCCTGATTGACTAAATAATATTTAATGACAACTTTATGTGGTTGGGCTAACTTTTGGGTTGGTAGAGATCTTAGATCTACTTTTGCTGAAGGAAGCACACCAGTTCTTATCCTAGTTCTCCTGAAGTTACGTTAAGGCAATTGGATTCAGCCTATGCACAGGTATAGAATTGTTGGATTTTTCTTTTCTGTGGTGGACCTGCACAGTGTTTTCTGGTGCAGCTGTAGAGACCTGTGTGATGCATTTACACCTGCTAGCAATACAGCAATATGCTTAACCTGTTCAGCTTTTGCTCCATGATTTCCTGGGTCTGGGGATGATTGGTTGAAAATCCAGAGGATCCAGAGGAGCTCAGGCTCACAGCCTGTTAGTCAAGATCTGTGTGTAATGAAAGAAACATTAAAAAAGGTATTTTTGTTATCTTTTGCTATGCAATTCCCATAGATTTGATTTAGCTGTGTAGGTGCTGGACATATTTTTCCATAGCATTTCCTTGAGAATTGATGATGCCTTATAATATCTAGGACATGCTGTGGATTTCTGGCTTTGTGTTTTATCAGTTGCGAATCAGTTGCGAGGTGAGCACTGAGCTCCAGATGGAGTTGGCCCCATGTGCCTTGTCTTGCTGGGGGTTACTGGCAATTTCATCTTAATGGTTATAATTAATCATAAATCTGTTTTGCGTTTGGTTTTGAGTTGTCTGCTCAGAGCAGCCCATGCCCTCTAGTTGGTACAATGGCAGAACCATGTCTGGTTTCACTGAATGGTTTGTTAGTCTGGGTGCTGTTTTCTGGGCACTGCGATGATGTTGTGTGCCGACATGTGGTTAATTAGCCTGTTGTGTTGCTGTTAATTAGCCAGTTGCATTGCTGGTATCTGATTTGAGAAGCAGTCCTGGTTTCCTTCTGAAGGCTGCAGATGACATCTGAGATGTAACAGTCAGATGAAGTACCACCACTGTCTGTTGGGACTTTAAATTATTTTTTAAAAGGAAATTCAATATAAATAGAAATAAAATTTGTTTAGCATAATAAACAATAAATAATCAGCCTTTACTGCTGATTCTGCCTATGTTTCTGCCTTAATTTTCTTTTCACTTTGCGTAGCTCCTTATTTCATATCCCTCAAACTGCCTTAAGGCCTATACACATACTCCTTCCAGGACATAGTGTTCTGGCTCAGTCTAGATTTTGGCATTTTTTTGGCTACATGAATTGTGTAGTATCAGTGAAGATAAATAATATATGCAGTGAAATATGAAACTTTAGTGTTTATTAAAATACAGTTCAGGATCGCTTACATGAGAGACTGTTGAAAAACCTGGAAGTTTCCATCCAAACACAGAAACTAAACACTGTTTAAAGAGTAACTTCCAGGTGAGCTGATGTAGATTGTCTTATTGTTCATTTCAGCTCAGGTTTTGTCATTTTTTTTAAGGACTGAAGGAAGAATGGCTGGTTTTGAGGCTCAGCAAGAGGTCCAACCAAGTTGGCCTTCAGGGCCAAAGTCATGACTTCTTGTTTTTTTCCCCAATGTCTGTGCCTGTGCTTAACTAGGATATTCCTCATATCTGTCAAAGTACAGTTTAATTACTGTAACTCTTATGCTTCTTATTTTTAATGCTTTAACAGCTGTTAAAACAACTTTTTATTCTTATTATTTCATAGGCAAATTTAGAAAACAAACCGGTAAATGGCCGCAGACCAGAACTCATGGAATGCAGCATATGTGGTCATGGTGAAAAATACAGGGTGAAAACCAACCATGCAGTACCCATTGAAAATGTGCAGTGCAAGGAGAAAGAAGGAATGACAGGCTTACAAGCAGAGGAGTGGGCACGGAACGAGAAGGCGTCTTTCGGCGTGCGTGTCAATGGCGAGATCCACGCAGCAGTGGTGGGCGCCGAACACTCGAACCACGGCGACGACTCAGGAGGAACAGGCTCTCCCAGTCAGTTAGCTGAGCCAAAAAAATCATTTGCACAGACCATCAAAAATGGCATAAAACCCCTACATTATTCACCACCAGAAACAGTTGCTTCCTTGAAAAATGTACCCGTAGAGGAAAGTACAGATTTGACGAGCAGCTTCCATGTGCAATGGATGAAGGGCACCAATCTGAATAAGGTAGCGAATGCTCTGACAACTGGCATTGGGTGTGTTCACCCAGAAAATCAAGGAAATGTTTTAATGAAAGAGGAAAACTGCACTTGCAGCATCTCTGATGGTTCTGATAAGTCAGTTTTGCAGACAAGTTCCATTTTGGATCTGCAGGAAAACTTACGTTGTCCTCCACTGCCTGAGGAGGAACTGCAGGCAGGGAAGGATGACTTTAAATTACCTAATGTGGAGACACAGCCTGAGGAATCTGCACTCCAGACGACTTTCTTGTCCCTGATTAAAACCAGAAATTTGACTGTGGAACAAGTTGTGGCTATTGAAGCTTTAACACAGTTGTCTGAAGTCCCTTTAGAAACATCTTCGCCAGCTAAAACTGGAAGTACTGAATGTAGGGGAGAAACAACCTCCAGCTTGCTTCATAGTTTTAAAAGGGATATCTCGTCCTCCTTCACATCATCTGCTTTAAAAGAAATCAAAGACACTTACTTGCAGAATGAGCAACAGCTCTTGGCTCACTGTGCTCACTCACAGAAGCAGCTCTGTAATAAGGCAGTGCTGTACAACGGTCAAAGTTCAGTGTCTGAACTGCATGATAAACCTGCCAGTCTGGCTGGGGAAAGCTATAGATTACAGTTACCCTCAAGAGATACCAAAACTTTATCTGACTTAGCATCTAATGCAACATTGTTTTCAGGATATGCTACCAAGAATTGTGCTCACCATCCAGGTGCCCTTGCACAGTATTGCAATGCTTCCCTTAACACCCAGCAAACAAGGAATGACTTGGAAATTCTCAACCAGTTAGAGCAGAAGCCAACCTGCAATGATTTGAACTTGAAAGCTAGTTCTTTGACTAAAGAAGGAGGAATTCACAGCCAGGATGAAGAGGATGTAGCTGCACAACTAACTCAACTTGCAGCGCTGATTGAATCAAAGCAGGAAAATTCAGAGCAGAAGAAAGACATAAAGACATCACTGCTCAACCTGATATCACACGAGAGGCAGCCAAAATGTAAGCAAGATGTGTTGCAGAAAAAAGAATCCGTATTTTTTAGGCATAATTATAGTTCCTTATTGTTAAAGCAAAAACAAGCGACAAGTAAGAAAGGAAATGCTGTGCCGTGGAAACCAAGACACAAAAAGAAGCCTCAAGAAACATGTTATCAACAGAATAATCAAAACCAGCTAGAGCTGTTGCCGTGCCAGCACAGCGAGTTGCAGGACATTTGGATATCATCAAAACTTCACAAGCTTGGTCAAACCATGCCACAGGACTCCCGAGCCGCTCCGTCTGAAAAAAAGTCTCCAAGAACCAAAGCACAGAGAGCACTTGGTCAAAATACTTTAACATCACAAGAAAAAGCTAGGCTGTTTCTCCCCCAAACGCAGATAAAATTCCACAGGTGTTTACCTGAGGCACAGCAAGAGAAAGAAAAAGACAGGTTGTTTGGCTGCCAAGTGGTAAATGAGCAAACGAGAAGTGCAGGCTCCGGTGACTCCCTGCAAAATGAAGTTGTTGTGCATAGCCAGCATAGCGACTCGTCCTCCTGTCATCCTCTGGCTGTGTCCCAGCTGAGAGCAGCATCCTTGTTGAACAGACCAATTGAAAACCTACCCATGTTTACAGAAAAATGTCATTCTCAGGTACAGCAAACAGCAAGCGTCTGCCAGGCGCATCCTTTGCCTCCGACTGGCAGTCAGTCTAACCCGAGAGCTCATGACACGCGTGGGGAAGACACAGCCTATGTCCAGCAGGTCACACAGCTGGTAGACCCAAAGTCACAGGTGGTGCCTGTTCCCTGTGGTGGGGCACAGGTGCCAGGATCTGCTGAAGCTCTCAGGAACATGGAGTGTGCGGGCAAGGCGACCATTCTGACATCAACCAGTTTGGGTACTGACCACCCACAGAGCACGGGCGACTCAGGGTGTTCTCCTGCAAAAAACACGCTCAGCAGTTTCCTTGAATCACCTATGAAATTTCTTGATACCCCTACAAAAAATTTAATAGACACACCTACAAAAAAAGGCCAGTCTGAACTGCCAACCTGTAACTGTGTTGGTAAGTGTTTCTGCTAACTTTTGCCTGTACCTTTCAGGTGGAGGTATGTTTGTGTTGTGTACATGACAGCTGTTGCAAAATAATCAGCGTTTCATCATTAGGAAATGGGAGGAAATTATTTTTTCCCTTTCTGTAACTTTTGCCTGGTGTTCTTTGGTCCTGCAGTGCACAGCAGAATGGAATATTTTTGGCATTGCAACTGGCAGGTTTAAATCCTCCACTGAAATTTAAACCCAGGAGGAAAAGGAGTTTTTTCTCTTTGTTGTGTTACCGTTGTTGTGCTTTTTCGCTATATCCAGTTCTGATTGGAATTGTCTAGAACTAGTTTTTGCCTGAGTGGGCTGGGCAGAAGTTTCCCAGTATATTGCCATTGTTGCCTAAATGCTGTTAGATGACCAGGAGAGCACAGCTGTGGGTGGTGTGGTTGCTGTCACTGTCAGTCCTGATGGTGCCATGTCCTGACACCTCCTCCCGGAGGGAGATTGGGGTGGCTGAGGTGAGGCCCTGAGTGCAGCAACTTGTGGTGCTGGATGAGGTGTCAGACCAAACTCGGCCTGAGGATTTTGCAGACACAGCTTGGCTGAGGGTGTCAGGCATGCTGTGTTGTCAGTCTATCGAGGCACACAGATGGAGAGACAAGTCAGAAATGTAACAACAAACTGTACATGGACAGATTGTTTCATCTTCGCTTTCATGTTCTGAATTAACAGAGCTAGTTGCGAGGCCTGGATTGTGTTTTCTGTCTGTAGTATGTGACTGTCAGTTAATTTATTTCTCCCTGAAATGCATTAATAATGTTTTCCTATCAACAAGCATATTGGGAAGCTTGCTTAGTCAATGCATGCCAGCTCTGTAATGAAAGGGCTGAAAAACATTGCTGCAGTTAGGGTTACTTTATAACATTAAAATACTAGCAGGTCAATAGGAGGGAATGAGTCTAATGCTGATGTATCTCAGAAAGAGTGAGAAAATTGTCATACTCTTTGTTCATTACATTTCAGGGTCAAATTTAATGTATTTTAATTTAATTTGGAAGGTGTTTCAGGAAACCATTTCTACGTTTACTTTTAATGGGGTAAATATATTTTGTATGTGCCAACTTAGTTTCCTCTTCCTGCTTACAGAGCAAATTATAGAGAAAGATGAAGGCCCCTATTACACACACCTCGGGACAGGACCGAGTGTTGCTGCTGTGAGAGAAATAATGGAGAACAGGTGAGGAAAATTCAGCTTTTAATGCTCATTGTATGCTTGACTGTTCAAACGGGGAAGAACTAGAGCTCTGAGAAATTAGGTCCTTGTCAGCTTTGTTTTTCTGAACTTTTTCAGTACTCATCTGTGAAGTGTTTCCTTGTTCAGATGTGCATGAGGTGAGCACCAGTGTTTCAGTTGCAAACTCCTGTGTCTTTGCTGAGCCCTTGCAACCTCAGGGTTGAAGTTCAAGTGTGCAGTGTGCCCTGAGGTGCCTTGGAAGCCACTAGGAAGGACAGAAAGCAGCAGCTGGCAGAGTTAGCTTTTCTAGTGTCGTACATGTCAATGAGCTGTGACTACTGCAAAGGAAAAGGTGACATTACTGACTAAGTGCACTAGGATTTACAGGCAGGTAACATTTTCTTCCCCAAAAAGTTATTTCCTTAGTGGCAGAAGTTTGTTTTATCATCAGGGAGATATGAGCAGCCACTCTTGCAAATAGGATTTTTAAATTGAAAGACTTTATAAATATTGTGGTTTTTTTCTGTTCACTGTAAAAACAAATTAATTATTCTTGAATTATTGAAAACGTTTCCTGTTTTAAAATGTTTCCTGCAGCAGTTTGTTCTACTCATGAACTTTTTTAACGCAGGTATGGAGCAAAAGGAAGTGCTGTAAGAATTGAGGTGGTGGTTTATACAGGAAAGGAAGGAAAAAGCTCTCAGGGGTGTCCAATTGCCAAGTGGGTAAGTTTTTGTGTTAAATCAGTAAAGTTGCTTTGTGTGGCTTTTAAATATCAAATGATGTGTCATCCTTGAGCTCAAGTACAGTCTGATCTTTAATGAAGTCTGGTTCTTTAACTGATAAAAAAAGTCTGCCTGAATGAGGAAGCCAAGGAAAACATTTTTTAAATTTTTTTTTTTTTGACTTAAGGTGTGGTGCTTCGTGTTGTACTGTGATTTGAGTGTGAAAGAGCAGCTGGGCAGGGCCAGCTGAGGTGATGGGGAGGGGTGAGGAAAGTTGGAGTGTCCTGTGAAATGTGTTACTGGGAATGGGCAAAGAGAAAAAAAGGATGGGATGGTCACTCAGGAGAGTTGGAAAACTAGGGAGTAATGTTTTTTAAACTCTTCTCAGTTGTATGAACACCTGAAGAGAGTGTGATGGGTGAGGAATTTCAGTCTCTCATGCTAAGGAGTTCATTACTGCTTTTGAGGAACTGAACTCAGTATTTGAAAATGCAAATCTTGTGATGATAGGTTTCACCCAAGTCTCGTTTCCCATTGCTTCATAGGAGCCAGGAAATGAGGTACAAGCTCCAGGAGAGAGCTTGGAAAGAATTGCTTGTCCTTACTCTGTACTGAAACCACCAAGGGCAGTAAAAAGTAGACTGGAAATATTGTAAGCTGAGTTTTTGAAAATAGTGAAAGAGCTTGGTTGTTAAAGGGAAAAAATTACTGCTGTATTTAGGAATTTCAGACTTGATTTCAAAAATCGTGAAGTTAACTGTGCAGTTGGTAGGGAAGTGTTTGTAACTGTGTGACAAAAATAAGGTTATTCCATGTTTTATGGGAGTGAATTTGCATCTTAAATGTTTACTGCTTGTGTTTGGAACAGTCAAAATATGTTTTTCATGCTCATTACATAACCGTTGGCAATGCTAATTTTAATCCTTTGGCAGAGCATGTTTGGGTTTTGGCTAAGGCCAGAGAAACTTGCTGGAGCAGTTGGTTTGGCAGCGTGTGGAAAGCGTTCGCTGTGCACTTTGACCCTTGCAGCCACGAGGCTCTGTCAGCTCACAGAGACCTTCACTGCCCCGTGTGCAGTGTCCCTTGGCACAGACCCGTTCCTGCCTTGCGGGTGCACACGCTGTTCCCTCGGGGCTCCTGGGAGACGCTGCCGAGAGCACCACCCTGGAGCTCATCTCACGCAGATGGGATGAAAAACGACCTGCTGATCATACTGAACTGTTTTTTCCCAATTAATTTTCTCTATTTCATCGAGATTATTTTGTCATATTGGTTCATCAGAAACATTTTAAAATTAAAGGAGGCTTTCTAAAATCCCTCTGTCCACACACCGTTCTGTCAGGGACCGCGTTCCGTAACCGTTCTCTCCGCAGCTGGTTTGGCACAAGTGACTCCAAACATGCACCTGCTGTGTCAAACACTCACTGGGACAGGCTCCTTTCCCCCAGGGTAGCTGATGTTCTCCCCTTAGATCTTGGGTTACCATAAACATGCGGAATCTTTTTCACTCTTGATAAGAACTAAACATATCTTCTGTTCTTTTTTTAATGTATTATATTTTAGGGTGGTACTTTGTCCCTCTGGATGTGACCCAGAATGCTTCTGTTAGTTACAGCTAAACATTTTTGGTGCTTGTTGCCCGGGGTTTGAAACCTGGTGCCTGCTGTGTGTGTAGGCATGAGAGTGACAGAAGGGTGATCTGCTGACCCGCTGCGTTCTGTCAGCCCTGGTTTGTTTGAAGGGCAGTGTTCATGGGGCTTCGGGGCCTTTTGCAAGTAATTTCTCAAACTCTTTCAGTTGTGTATTAGTACTTTATATAAATAGCAAAAAATAGGGGTGGAATAAAAAAACCTCATAAATATTTATAAAATATAGTTCAACTTGAAATTAGTCCTGTGCAGACACAAATCTGGTATTAGTGTCTTTGCAGTAGTGCTTAGACAGCTCACTGTTGTAATCAAGATTTTGCAGATCACTGAACTGATAGGAACTTGTAGCTAAATGCCAGAAACTATAATGTATTAACTGCTGAATGAGCCTTAATAGCAATAAGTTGTTCTGCAGATGCAGAGATGAGGTGTTTTTTTTCAGTTTGCTAGTTTGGCTTGAGTTGAGAAAGTCATTGAAATTCAGAAGGTACTCCTGCTTTGACTCTCCACATGCAAGTTCCCGTCAGTATGGAAGCTATGGAGGACAAGGAGCTGTGTCTGCTGCTTTTTTGTGCCCTGCTCGGGGAGGGGCTTGGCAGGGCTTTGTTTGCTGTTCGGATAGCTGTATTACAGCCTGGTCACACTGTGTTGGTGTGTGTATCTGTGCACACACTGCCTTCAGTGTTTTCTACATACAGAGTCAGACCAGTTTGTTTGGGACAAAAATGGTTTTAGTGTCATCCAAAGTAAAGCTGTTCTTTAAGTGCTGCAATGCTTTGAGATTCAAAATTAAAGTATGGTGAAATAACAGTAGTTAAAACAATGCGACCCCTGAAGAAACAGAGCGGATTTGTATTGCCATCCCTGTCGGACCAAGTGCAGCTCTCCATGGACCACGGTCTGACGAAGGCAAGATTGAGGGAGAGTGGCAGGGAAGGAGAATACAAGCTGAAGTTTGTCCTCACGCCTGCAGTATTGGTGGCACGACTGTAGGAGAATCACCCTACACGTGTGCTGTGATCTGCTTGTTTGGAACCAGCACAGCACTGCTGCAGGTGGCAGCTGGACACGAGGTGCTGACGGATCATGCGGTGATATTCCTGTAAAAATAGCTAAGGAACTTCACAGGATTGGGTTGTGGTACCTGTTTGGTGCTGACTCTTTTGGTGTAGTCTGCGAGCCCTGAGAAGAGGGAATTTAGCAAAGTGGAACTTACTTCCATTGTAATATCTCCTAGGCATGCAGAGAATAAAACAATGTCACGTTTTCCAGTAAGAAAAGAAATTGATGTGGTTTAGTGTGTGTGTAGGGGTGAATTAGGAAAAAGGAGGGCAGACAGTTCTGCTGCACCAGACCATTTGTGCTGTCAGAATCTGCCAGAACAGCAGCAGGTTTGAACAGCACTTTGAACTTTGTAGGTTGTTAGGGAATCGAGCTTGGCAGAGGGTCTCATCCTGTGCAGAGTCCTCTGTGCATGTTGGAAAACTTGCAGCCAGCAAAAGGAATCACCTGTTGCAGGAGATTGTCTCACTTTAGAATGCACTGCTGATACCCTGCAAAGCAGACATAGCTATTTTACTGAACAAATTCAGAACAGGCTGGAGGGAATAACCACATGGAGGTGAAATCAACTTAAAATGGACCTTGTTGTTGGTTCCATTGGGGTTTTTATAGTCCAGTAATTTACAGCAGAGTGTTCAACTCGAAATTAAAATTTTGTGCTCTTTGCTAGTGGTGTCTGGTCTGTATCATGTTAAAGTCAACACAGCAACTCCAGTGATTGTAACGGGAAAGTGGTTCCCCATCCACGTGGTAATTGGGCACCTGGCACACCCAGCTGCTTCTGCAGTCTGGCTCAGCCACCCACCTAAGTGGTGCACGTGCTAATTGAGACAGGACATTTTTATTCACAGTATACTCACTCCTTGTTCTAGAACTCCTGCCAAGGAAGGAGAACTCAAGCAAGTTTTATTGATAGTGTAACTTTACTGATGTTGTTCATTGGAAACCATTCAGAAGTGGTTTGAGAAGAGTGGGAGACACTGAGGTGACAAATTGCTGATGTTGCTCAGGATAATGAAGAGGAAGGACAGACATAATGGAGAGCAGGAAAGACTTGTGATCCAGAACAAACGGCCACTAAAGTACTAGATAAAACTCACTTGATAAGTCAGACACAAAGCAATGCTGCAGTTCCATGCACACGGTGAGGTACGCTAGGTCGTTACTGCTGGAGATAATGGTTCATTAGGCATTGAGTTGTGGTGGAGACAGCAGAAGGAGTTGGTCAGAATTACTGAGGAGGAACAAAAAAACCCACCAAACACAGTTCTCCCCATGAGAAGGCATGCTGCCCCCAGGCTTGCACACTGCCCTGTTCTGGTTTCCCAGCTCAAGAAAGCACAGCAGAACTGGGAGAGAGAGACAGGTTGTTCTGGTTTCCCAGCTCAAGAAAGCACAGCAGAACTGAGAGAGAGAGGTACAGACTCCTCAGCCTGGCAGAGAGGGAAGGGGAGAAAGCAAGGGCTGTCTAAAGTCTCCAGTGGCATGGGGAGATGAACAGCAATGTGTTATCCACAGTCTCATCCTGGATCAAAACCAGAGGAAACTGAGCTCAGCATGAAGCAAAGGTAATGTTTTTTCCAGCTCAAGAAAGCACAGCAGAACTGAGAGAGAGAGGTACAGACTCCTCAGCCTGGCAGAGAGGGAAGGGGAGAAAGCAAGGGCTGTCTAAAGTCTCCAGTGGCATGGGGAGATGAACAGCAATGTGTTATCCACAGTCTCATCCTGGATCAAAACCAGAGGAAACTGAGCTCAGCATGAAGCAAAGGTAATGTTTTTTCTTTCACATAGTCTGTAACTAAGCTTTGCCTGGGAGTGTAGTGGGTGGTAAAATGCTGCAGAGATTTAGAAGTGAGTGGAAAAATGCACAAAAGGCAAATCCTTCAGAAGCTGAGAGTGTGTGTTCCCTGAGGGTGCTGGTGGATGGCTAGAAGGTGCCTGGCTTTGGTGAGAAGCATCTCTACATCCCAGTGCCTTTCTTGCTGCTCACCCTAGGCAACTGCTGTTAGTCACTCTCAGGGGCAGGGTAAGGCTCGATACTCTGCTCCTCTGACTTTGTCTTGTTCTTGTATTCTTCAATTTTTAGCATCGCTTTCAGTCTCTTCACTATCCTTTTATGCAAGGGAGTGAAAAAGCTTTTCCTCTTGTTTATCCCTTATCTTGTTGCTAAACTGCTGGAGCGAATTCTGCACCTCTTCAATAAATATGCTGTAGCTTTTGGCTCATACTTTCTGGTAAGAAAGTTGGGTGAGCTCAGCTGTTTGTGGCCTGTTGAAACAGGTTTAGCTGTGGTTTGTTGCCATAATAGCTGTTGATTGTCTTTGTGTCTGAGCTGGCTGGCTGTGGCTCACCTTGAGGGCTTGCTCATATTCTCAAATAGCAGAGCCTGAAAATATCTGGGCTAGGTGACGAGATGAATTACTCAGGTTGCTGCCCTCCTTTGGATGTACACACACAATGTGGCAGTGATGGGTGCACAAATACAGCACTGGAGGGATGGATAAGACTTGGATTTGAAGATGATCAGAATAACTGAACATCCTGCCCAAATCAGCAGCGTACAAGGGTGGTACTGGTGGTGCTGTGTGTGCATAAGGAGGCTCTTAGGAAGGAGGTGTGGCCATTTCAGTGTTTTCTGTTGCCCTAGACACGGCTACATGAGCACACAGGTGGGGGAGTGGGCAGCCTGGAACTTCATGCCCAGTTGCTGTGAGTGCAGAGTGAGGCTGGCAGGTACCAGTCAGGCATTGTGGAGGAGTTGGTGAGGTTTTGTTGCTTTCCTGAAGTGCTGTGTTGCAGCTGAAACAGATTGTATATCGCTACTTGGGAGTCTGGATACTTAGTACTGATGTGGATACTTAGTGCTGATGACAGCTAGTTCTTGCTGGAATGAGTCTTGGGGTAACCTGGGCCTGCCTACCTGCAAAAAGCTGACCAGAGCATCATAGAATAATTTAGGCTGGAAAAAACCTCGAAGGCCAATGAGTCTAACCATAAATCCAGAGCTGCCAAATCCAAATCCATGTCATGTCCCTAAACATCACATCTACACATCTTTTAAATCATAATTTAGGCTGGAAAAAACCTCGAAGGCCAATGAGTCTAACCATAAATCCAGAGCTGCCAAATCCACCACTAATCCATGTCCCTAAACATCACATCTACACATCTTTTAAATCCCTCCAGGAATGGCTCCACCACTGTCCTGGGCAGCCTATTCTAATGCTTCACAGTCCTTTCTGTGAAGAAGTTTTTCCTAACATTCAATCTAAACCTTCCTTGGAGCAACCTGAGGCTGTTTCCTTTTGTCCTGTTGCTGGTTGCATTTAACTGTTACACAATGCTTCACAAACCTATTGCAAGTCTCTTTTGTTGACTGTTATTCTTCCATGTGAGTCACTCAGTCATGGTTAGCTTGTGTGGAGAACTCATTGCAGGGGAAAGTTCTTATTTTCCCATTCTAAAAACCAAAAGTTCCTCCATTTAACAAATATTTACTTTCTCATTCCTTTTAAATGCATTGGGGACCAAAATGAAACCGAAGTATTAAATTATTTACGTTATTCCTGTTGTTAGCTCCATTGCAGAGATCATGAGTAATACCAAAAGCGTTTGGACACAAGGTTTGCCAGCTGATCTGTGTGTTGTTCCCAGTCTGAGGAAATGCTCCAAAGCTCAGTTGTCCTGCTCCAAAGTGCTTTTCTGTCCCCCAAGAATGGCACTGCTGTGGGTTTTCTGCCAGGAGAAGGCTCTGGGAATGTCAGGGCAGCATCAGAGAGCAGAGTGGCTTCGGCCCTGCCCGGCCCACGCGCCTGCAGCGCGCCTGCAGGAGCTGGGACTGTGCTGGGGCAAACTGCTCTCCCGAGGCCTTACAGGAGACAGCAGTGCCTCGTCTCTGGAGACAGCAGTGCCTCGTCTCTGGAGACAGCAGTGCCTCGTCTCTGGAGACAGCAGTGCCTCATCTCTGGTAGCAGCAGGGCAGGAGCAGTCTAGGTGCAGGGTCAAATGTGTGTGATGTACCTGAGCCACAGAAACGAGATGCAGACAATGAATCCATGAGCTGGCTTTGCTGACTTTATGGCCTGAAAGGTGGTGGATTCTAAAATGTTTTGGGATCTAGTAACAGTGTGACATTCCCTACTCTATGCATCATGAAGCAAATTCCAGCTATGTTTAACCCCAGGAAAGTGTGATCTCAGATTAAAGGAAGCTATAAATTTGCTTTGTGTTTTTGTCATTTTTCCTGGACACTTTAGAACTATATGAGAAAAGAAAGGCAACCTGATGTTGTACAGCACCAGACTTGTTTGTTGAAGTTGCAAAGTCTAGAAGAAAAAAAAAAAGAAAAAACCAACCAACCAAAAAAAATCCTACCCCAAAAAGCATCATCCTTCATGCCTAATAACAAAGTGAAGTTCTGACTTGAAGGAGCTGTGCTGCCTCAGGAACATCAACCTCTCATTGACATGAAGAACCTGTATTGGCTGTCACCCATAATAAATACTCTGTAAACCTCACTTAAATGTACATGAGTTGGATTATTTTTCTTCCTTTATAAAAAAATATTGAACTGTTGGTCAGTCAGAACCAAGATTCCTTGTGAGGAAGGTGTCTCACAGGCATTTACTTGTGTTCTCAAAGTTCAGGGCTGATTATAAGACTGTGTGATTAACTCTAGAAGAGTGACACTTTATTTCCTGACACAAATTAGCTTTCAGCTTGCTTCTTCCTGCTCAGCCTGCACAGATTCCCTCTGAAACTGTTCATCTACTGCTGACCTTTTCATTTGTAGATGAAATGCAAGGGTGCTTTGGTCCCTGCTGTTAATGAGCAAAAATGACATAGATATTCAGAGCTGATCAGTCTAGGGGTCCCATGAGAGTGACAGTTGCACACCTGGCAACAGAGCAGCTTTGACATCAGCCCCACAGGGAACATGCCTGAACACTGGGATATTTGGAAGTTTTCCAAGGGTAAGTGACACTCTGCCTTCCTGCTTTTACAGTCCCTGACTGTGTTATCTGTGGGAATTCTGCTGATGGAGAGGGTGCTGGGTGATGGACTGCTTGCTCAGAGCAAGTGATTGTGGCAGAGCTGGCAGAGAGATCTGCAGTGCAAGGGCTTGTGCACACAGAGAGGAAGAGTCTGCAAGGTCCCCTGCCCATGTACGACAGCTGAGGAGGAGAATAGAGCCTCTACTGCCTGAGACAGGCTAGGCCTGATAGGTTGGAAACTTCACACTGGGGTGTTGACACCTTTGCTGCAGGCCTTGTGCAGGCTGTGCTGGCTAAAACATGTTGGAAGAATAAATGGACGTATTTTTAAAGATTGTTCTAGTATTACCTAGCTTTAATGCTTTTTTTGCTGGTCTTAAATGCAACTCTGTTTCGGACTGTGGCAAAAACCTAAATATGGGAGAGTGGGACTGTCTAGTTCTTTGATAATTTCCCTCTTTTTATTCAGTGGTGTATTGTACCAACCATACTTACTGTCTCTGTGTTGGGCAGGGATTGCTTTGTATGTCATACGGGTACTCCGGTAAGAATTTCAGTGTAGGTAGTCAGGGGTATGTTCTGAAAAACCCATTGCTTCCTTCACTGAGAATGTAGGTTGTGTTCATCGCTTTCTTCTCACCCTGCTTTCCAAACAGGAACCGTCGTAGGTGCTGATGTGTGACACTGGTATCCACCCTGACACTTGCACAGGTGTGCACTGGGGTGTGCTTCCACACACCTGCCCTCTGGGGCTCAGCACTGGCTTCTCTGTGTTGTTCTCGATGGATCCGTTGTCACGGGATTATTGTTTCCTTCTCGAGGTTATTTTCCTTTTCGTGCATCTTCTTTACTGTTTGTGTACAACGGCTAAAAAATTCCCTCCTTCTGTAAAATGCGCTGCTATTTCTTCTGCAGGTAAAAAGGCAACACAAACTCATGTTCGACACCAGAGATGAGTATGTGATGCTGTCCCGGTCCTGCTTGCAGATGGACACTCTTGGGGCACTAGTATTTCTTGCTTTTCCAGGCCTTGTGTCTCAGAGAAGAGCAGCTCGTTGTTGCCTGTGCTTCTCCAAGAGTAAACAGAATGATTCTTCCAGGTGATACGAAGAAGTAGCGACGAGGAGAAGTTGCTGTGCTTGGTACGTCAGCGTGCAGGACACCACTGCCAAACTGCCGTCATCGTGATCCTCATCCTGGCCTGGGAGGGGATCCCTCACCTGCTGGCAGACACGCTGTACAAGGAGCTGACGCAGAGCCTGCGCAAGTACGGCTGTCCCACCAGCCGCCGCTGCGCGCTCAACGAGGAGTAAGTGACCGTGGCACTGAGCGGCTCTGCCGCCTCTCGAGCGTGCCGCAGTGCAGAACTTGGCAATTCGGTGCTTCGAGTAATACAGTAAATACACAAAAGCTCATTTAAAATTCCACACTGCTGGGTGTCACTTCAGTATCAAGCCTCATTCCTGGCTTTTCCTAGAGGAAAGGCTCTCGAGTGCTAGTGCATGTGCCATGCCCAGGGCAGAGGGAGGCAGTGCACTCCTCTCCTGGCTGTGTGCATGCTCCCAACAGACAGCCAGTGTGCCCTTCGCACACACAGCCAGCTGAAAGCTGCGAGATGGTGGTGTGTGACTTTTGAAAATAGATGTGAGGTTGAATACGTGAAATAAGGCTCTTCCCCGCTGTGCCTCTGAGAGGAATATAGTCTCATTGACTCAAGAATCTATTGTAGCTGCAGTGCGGCCTTTGTGTTGATTTCTGTGCAGCCCACATTGAACAGACTCCCATAGCTGTATGGGCACCTGAAGCTAATGTGTTCTTCAAGGGTCCACTCTGAAAATCACATCCATTTGGAGTTAATGGTGTTTCTACACATAACACAGTAAGTATTGGGTTTAGGGGTAAGCTTTAGTAGCAGGGCTGTTATCTTGGGCAAAAATGTTATCAACTGAAGTCAAAATGAAAGTAGCATAGGTGAATTATACAGCTATAACTGAGTATTGGGGGTTGAGGCTGTCTTTGTGGGAAGAAAAGTCAGTCCTTTACATACGAATGTTTCCTCGACAGAATATCTAGTTAAGCCATGTATTTTATAAATTCCTTTTTTTGTTGTGCTTTGTAGTATTAAAAGAAATAGCAAATAGCATTGACCTAAAAAAACCCCAAACCAAACAAACCCAAGAGCTGCAATGCTGGCTGACCTCATGTGTCTTTATTTTCTTTCCTAGTCGTACTTGTGCATGTCAAGGACTTGACCCAGAAACTTGTGGAGCATCATTCTCATTTGGCTGTTCATGGAGTATGTATTTCAATGGCTGTAAGTTTGCCAGGAGCAAAAATCCCAGGAAATTTAGGCTTCTCACTGATGACCCTAAACAAGTAAGGTTTATTTAATTTTTTCCCTCCAAATACTTACTCTGATGATTTTCAGAACTAGCCACCCCTTCTCTCACACATGTATGCATAGCTTATCACACCAACACCCAACTAAATGTTTTGTAGCTGTAGTATTTATCATTTCTGCACTGTATGAAAACTCAGTGTCACTTGCTATGTATTTAAATACCCTCAAATTATTTTTAAATTCTTCTCTGCACACACATTTAGTTCACTGTGCAACTCTGCTTGAAATGGTAATTCTCTGTATGACATACAGCTGAAGGGTTTTCCTAAGGACCCAGACTGCAGCTCAGAGACAGAGATACAGCTAATACAGGTCTGTGGGCAGAGCAGGCTCTGAGAGACCTCTGCCACCGAGGGCATCGCTGCCTCCAGATCTGCAGCTGCCACCCTGAGCTCCTTCGGGCACCTAGCCAAGCACCAGGGGCTTGCACTGCATTCCCATACTCCTCTTTTCCATGGAAGTGGTTTTAAAGCTTCTGGATTCTGCAGCTGAGAGGGGATGAGGATGCACAGGCACTCCATATCAGGACGTGCGTGCACCCTGAGACTGCCACTGTGCCCAAGTACTGACGCTGGGGACAGTGGTGAACGTGCAGGTTGTCACTGCATCTCGAAGAGCTGAAATTTCTGGTAAATAATTTTTCTCTTCAGTTGGTTTTGCCATTTGTTTTTTCTAGCACATACTTCTTTTAGCTAAATATTGGCTATTGATGACTTTGCAGATGAAATAAAGCAGGAAGTATAGCCAGTTAAGAAGACAGTTTGAAGTCCAAAAGATTTGGATCATTTGAGGCATGAGATGGAGTGAAATGGGGTTATGGGTGTAATATGCCTAGGTAATGGTACCTAGGACAGATATCCTACTAGGAGGATAAATAACTAAGTATATGTTACCTTCAAAGCAGTGCAGAAAACCTAGTGGGAGCCATTTCCAGCTGATAAACTGGCTGTGGTACAGGTTAAAACCACAGCATAGTTTTATAATGCAACATCACACCGTAAGTCTCCTGGTGTTCGTGTATGTTGGTGTTCACGGTGTGTGGTGATAAGTGGTCAGGGTTTTTTTAAACAAAACAAAGCAAGCTGTTATTTTTTGCCACTCTACACTGTGCAGAACGGAAGCTGTGCTTCTCTCGAGGCTCAGTGCTTGGAGGAAAACAAAGCAAGGGAGTATGTCACCACCCTCTGCTTTCCCAGCTGGCTGGTGATTTTCCAGGAAAAGCAAAAACTTAGGATAAGATTTTGGGATTGTTTCTGTAAATAAGAGCTTAAATGTGACACTGCCATAGAAGCCCCCCTGGCTGATCCTGCGTTTAGATGGCTTACCCCAAGGAAGGGAATATTCCTTCCAAGTCCAGTAGGTATTTCCACAAAGTCCTGAATTTTGCACCCCCAAAGAACAAAACAGTTAACAAATGTTCCTGGTGAGGGTTCTGTTGCACTATGAGAAATGTACCTCTTCCTCCCTAAGAGCCTAAATTAGTGTTAAATGCTGTTGTGAGTTTCTCACAGGGTTACAGGAAAAGGCATAGGAAACCTGAGCTGCTTTTGGTAGGGCTGTGTCAACACAGCTTAAAGCCCCATGAGCAAGAAGATCTGGGGTTTCATCCCTACTTGGCATGGGCTGTGAGTTTTCTTCTTGGGATGTTACTTCCCTGTTTTCGTGTGGAATATACCTCACTCCTTGACTGTGTATTGGCAGTGACACTGTTCCCGTGTGTTGGGTTTCTTTGCCCTGGCAGATATCCTCTGGTGCTACTTCATTGATTTATGTCTAACAATTTGAGTGTTTTAGTCATGCAAATGTAGACGTTTCTGGTGAGTGACGAAGGGCAGCAGAACAGAAGTCAGATGGATAAAATCTGAGATAGAGGCTGACTTGTCAGGCCTCTCTAAAACTGGCTGAAGTTCTTTGAGAGCAAACTGCAAGGCTGAATGTTGCTTTTCACTGCAGGAGGAACTTCTTGAGAATAACTTGCAAACGTTGGCTACTGACGTGGCTCCGGTTTACAAGCAGCTTGCTCCGGAGGCTTTCCAGAACCAGGTAGGCCTGTGACACTCAGCTCTGAAGGGCAGTGTTGTTTCAGCAGCAGCATGTTGGTGGGCAGGAGCTGCAGGCCTTGCTGGTGCAGTGAGTCCCATTGCTTACAGTGGTTGCTGCACGTGACAGGTTGTGGTGTACTGCACCTCTGTATTTGAACTGCTGGTTAAGTTATGCCCTGAGCTGGGCACATGATAAAAACCTTAAGAGACAATAACTGTGCACAAAATGGTTTTATCATTTTGACTCTGGCTGACCTGATTCTCCTGTTGACATCCAGCTGTCAGTGTTACACATTTCACAGGAAGTACATGCTTTCCCATCAGAGTCTCCTTGACTGCCTTCGTCCGTTCTCAGGGCGGTAGCTTGCGGGGTTCCGTCTCTCGGTCCCAAGTACCTGTAGTTTGTTTTCCTTCTAGGTGGAGAATGAGCACATGGGCCCCGACTGCCGGCTGGGCTCCAGGGATGGGAGGCCTTTCTCTGGCGTCACGGCCTGCATCGATTTCTGTGCCCATGCCCACAAGGACACACACAACATGCACAATGGGAGCACTGTGGTACGTACCTGCGATTTTCTCATCTCTACTGGTTATGCTTGTCATTACTGTGAGTTTGAAAACACTGCTTAATTTAGTGGGTACGTTTGCATAAAGGCTTTGAAGGTGTAAGAGAATTAATGGCATGTTGCCATTGATCAGTGCCCATGTTTTACTGGCCACAGAGGACACGAGTGTGTCTTACTGTGGAAAAAGAGAGCAGGGGCGATCCCTCCTCCCAAATACCTGGATTCTGTTAGACACCCAGGCCCTTTGGAGGGCCTGGCCGGGGTGCAGAGAAGTGCTTCACAGGAAAATAATGATCTAACCAAGGAGCTGCACAGATCTCTGTAGAGGAAAAGCTAAAGTGAACTGATTCAGTATTAATTTACCTTCCCTAAGCATATCAAATTCTCCTTTTCTTGCACTCAGCGCTTCATGTGTAGCACTGCATGTTAATGTAGTTACTAGTCAGAGTAGAGACTGATACTGTGGTGGAGCCAGGTGGCTATTATGGTCTTTAAATCTCAGTATGAAAGGAAACCCCACGGACAGGTGTGGCCGTTGGATGAAGTAGCTTGCTGGATTGCCAGCGAGAAAATCATCTGGGAATTACTCGACTATGTAAGAATTAAGACCAGTGTTGAAGACAGACAAGCTCAAGGCAGTAAAGACAGAATTGGCAGTGTGCTTTGAGCAGCTGCAGCCCTGAGTGCTCTACAGAGCGAGGATGGCTTCTTGTACAGCAGTGCACTCATGAGTAACTTCTCTATCAAAAAAAGCATATCTGGAAAAACAATCTGTCTAAAATTTCTGCCTACTCTAGAAACAGTCTTGTTTGAAATTTGGGAATGCATATCAAATCACTGTGCTGTTGTGATGCAATAAAGTATTGCATTTACACCTGTAGTCACAGCAGTGAAATGACTGGTGCAGTTGTTCAGTGTTAATTGTGTGTTTTCAAGGTGAGCAAATGTCTGCTCCTCTAAAGTGAGGAAGCAGATCTGGGAATTCACTAGGAATGCCAGTCCTCAATAGACTTCATTTTGCCTAGCATCGAATGCCACTTACATGTGGATATTCTACAAAGGCATGTTGGAAGTGTACATTGCAAAATGCTTTCTGAAGCATGGGAATCCCATGCCCTTGAAGATCCTAAATTTGAAAGAGAGACCTCCTTGCCAAACTACACAGTATGTTTTTTGATGGGATTTAATTTAGATGTTCTAAAACAGTAGTTTAAGTGCTCCATGGCCTCTTAAGCTAAAGACAAAATTAAATGGAAACTGAGTCTGCTAGTCACTCTGCAATAATTCCCAGAAAGTTATGGACAGAAGCAGCTGGAGGGACAACTACACCTTTTTTGAAGAATGTATTGGGGGATGATTCTGCAAATGCATTTACCTCTAATCACCTGATGTCATTTCAGCTTCAGATTATCCTTGCTGGTGTTGATACTCACGGGTTGTACATGGTGTGTTTGTAATTCCAAGTCTCAAGCATGGGACATTGCAACTTGTGTAAGGCCCTTGCATGGGCCAGGACTTATCACTCATTGTCTTCCTGCCTTAGAAACCTCAAACATCCATGATTTTACTATTTTTCTCTTGTAGTTTGATTTTTTTAACTGCTACAGATTGAAGTCTGTATGCAGTGCACTTGTCATCTTGGCCCTCATTAGTGTTGGTAAGATTTCTTCCCTTCCTCCTTTTTCCAGCACCAGATCTTCATTTACAAAATCTGAAGTTTGCCTGGAGTAAAAAGGTTGCAGTAAGTCCCTTGTGAGGTGGTAACTGTGAGTGCTATGGCTCTGTCAGCATAATGAACACCTTCATTTCTCCCCTCACTTTTACCACAAGTATGAAAGGAATGTTGCAGAGGGCACACAAAGCAAAGGGAAAACAGAATCTATTCAAATCATTTCAGCCAGGCACAGACATGAGTTCAGCAAAGCACTTAAATGAGGTTAAGATAAGCAAGGAGTTAAAACTGAAAATAACAGGTTATTTAATGAGCTGCCAGTAATAATTTCCTTGCTCTGCCTCTACAGAATTTCAGAAAAGCCATCTTGCATTTTTCTGGGTGTGTGTTTGAGGATCCATTATTTGTTTATGACCCTGAAAACAAATTAGGTTGTCATTTGTGTTAGCAGTAGCAAAGGGTCTTGGAAATGCTTCTGCAGACACAACAGAGCATAATACCTCTTACTTTAGACAGACTGAGGATTATCTTTGATAATTATCACTGGAGATCTGAGCTGCTGAACATGTTTCCTGGCTGGAAGAGTCACACCCTGAATTTAGCAGAGCTGCTTTTGGGAGAAAAGCTAAAAATAAAAACTACTTTTCTCTGCTTGCTCAATGAACACACTTGGCCAGTCTGCAGAGATGTAAATTAATGTCTTTATCTGAAAGAAGCAAAAGTAATTTCTGCCTATGAACTGAGTTTAAGAAGCTTTAAGGCACTAAAACCACCATCCATTTTCACTCAGACTCTTTTGCTGTCTCTTGCTGCTCTCCCAAGGGCCACTGATGTATGTTACAGCACCGGTGCTAGGATGCAGTGTTCCTTGTGGATGTGAAGCTAAATGAGCAGCACACAGTAAAACCTTTCTAGTTATTCATGGAGTCTGTGAAATGTCAGTACTTTTGCTTCTGTATCAGATTAGCTGTGAAGGATCACATTCTTCACACCTGTGGGAAGCCATTTAAGTCACTGGCATGTGGGGTTTGAGAGTGACTGCGACAAGAAGATCAGCGATCTCGCTGCTTCTGCATCCTGAATGTGGGTGTTCCTTAGCTGGTGTGGCACAGTGCTGGGGCAGGGAAGGGGAGAGACCAGCTGCAGTTGTGTGTAACCCCTGCTGCCACACAGTCTGCAGCAGGCATTGGGAAGAAGATAAATTTATGCTTCAAGGGCAACTACAATGTGTAATTTATTATTGGCAGCAGAAGTAAGTAGTGTCAATCAGCAATCCATTAACAAACTGCTCCTGGTTTGCATGAGAAACCCAAACCATCTGCTTTTCCCATACCTGACTGCATTTCTGCAGAGACAGCTCACCTTGTCATTGCACGTGGCTCCAGGCCTGGGCAGTAGTTGACAGGATGTCTCTGTATGGTTGCATCACATTCACACCGTGCACACGCTGAGCTGCAGGAGTACCAGAGCCTTCAGTTCTAAGCCTTCAGGTTATAACAAATAGGAGAAAAGACAAACCCGCTGGGCTGTGAAGGAAGGATTTTTATTAGTTTTTTATACTGTGAAAATAGAGGAACAGAGAAGTTCAGCCTGCTCACCTGTGAGCTCCCAAGGAGCAGTTTGTCTGCCATACCCGTGTCACCAGTGCCTGATGGCACTGCCTAGGGTGCCTGTAGTGTTCAAAAGGAGAACAGGTTTGGGGTTCCCTTCTCTGATTCTAACCTCCATACACTTGTTCAGAGTACATCAGGTCCACAAAACAATGTGGTTTGTCTGGGCTGCAAAGGAAAACAGCAATGTACTATGAGGAATGGTAGACAAAAGTGCAGCAGCACCAGAGTCCCCAGTGGTGCCCACTGTGCTCTCCAGCTGCATGGGGAAGGTGTGTGTAGGAAACCTCATTCCATCTTTCAGGTTTAGAAAGGCTGTTTGACTGCTGTGCTGAAACTTGCATTTAAATCGTCACTTCTTGTAACATAGTGGAAAAAGCTCCTTCATTTCTAGGTGTGAAGGTCAAGAGGACAAGGGTAGATCAGAGTCCTAGAATCATGCACTGGGAGCTGTGCTGTTACAGATGTTGCTCTGGAGGGAATTGTGTTGAGTTCATGGTGCATTTTAAGTTTAAAAGAAATAAATAATAAGAACGTTTTACAAATATGCAAGTTTTACCCTGACATCGCCAAACCCGGAATAGGTAGTGGGTATGATCACCAGGCATGCTGGACACCTCAACAAACTGCTTGGCCATTTTCTTTGGCCTCTGAGCATCTTGAACGATTTAGCTGCATGTTCTAAAAAAATCAGAGTAGCAGGATGTGCAGCTTCGTGCTCTAAGTGGCCTGTAACAGGGCTGAAGGTTTTCTCTTGGTCAGGTTTAATTTTGGTCAGTTTGCAGCAGAGTAGCAATGGAAAATGTTGCTTTTAACTTTGCAACAATAGCTTCTCTTCAAGCTCCTTAATGGACTATTTTGCACAGATTTGAGTATTAGAGTGTTGGGTGTGGAGGAATGGCTTAGGGCTAAGGGCCACATAAGTATGGTTCAGCTTGCAGAGCAAAGGACTCTGGGAGAGTCAAAGCAAGAGCTGCTAGCAGCTTGTTGACGAGAATTGTTAGAGTGGTCAAGAGAGCAAGGACACAGGCCTGGGAACGCACCTGGGAGTGTAGCACAAACAAAGCTCTGGAAGTTGTAACTCGCAAGTATAGATAGGGAGTAACTCAACTTGGCAGAAGGCAGAGGTAAGTTGTCCTTGAGGGTGAGACAAACAAGTCCGAGACAAACAGCTAGGAATGCAGCAAAGCCTGGGAAAGAAAGGGAGAATCCTCTCAGCTGTAACCACAAGTAGGGAAGGTACCTGAATGCTATCTTTAGAGCTTAGCTAATTATAAATGATTAATAGTTATATGCTTGTCATACACGGTATAAGCATGTCAGCAACTTTATGTCAATAACATGATGTTGGACAAGGGAGTAAGAGCAGCTGCACAAGATCTAAGAAGCTGCAAAGGAAGTAGCTGACCATTAATCACGCCAGCCAATGATGAGCTTGCTTTGCACTATGTATGAGCCTCATTAGCACATCTATCTAACCTGTAGCTTTGGTATCAATAAACGAGTCTTGCTGGACACCATCGGGTGCGCGTTTCTCCCGTCGATCTTCCGCAGTTGGGTTTTTTTTAAACAGATGTTTGTTATTTGGTGGATTCCCACCTTTAACTGTCTGTTGCTGGCTTGCTGTGCAGCCTTACTTTACAGCTGATTTCCCCTTATCATGAATTTTTCAGCTATCCATTTGCCATTGTGTCCTTAGTCTTATGTTAAAATGTAGTGTACTGACCTGGACATTCTGTGTATGTTAAATGGGTGTTGTGGTATTTAGGCTATAGGTGTACAGGTCTTCAGATTTTTAACAATTTTGAGTATACATTAATTTCCTGCTACATGTGTGTTGGAGTTCAGTATACTTTCAACATAGTTCTGCTAATATAGCCCTCATCTGCTTCAGTTCCTCAGAGCAGTTCTTCAGATTTCTTGCTCCAAAGGGGGTGTTGGCTTTGGCATGGAAATTTAGATGAGGGTCTCCATTTTCAAAATAATCAATGCTGTGGATTGAGTCTTCAGGACATTTTTCAGACTAGTGCATGGGCAGCCACAGGCTGGACAGGGTGTTCTAACAGAGCAGTGAGAACCACCCAGTTTATGGTGAGTAAAGTGGGAGCCAGGCCCTGCACGCTTCTTTTGTTACTCCTTTTGCTTTTAATTTAGAAAGGGAGGATGTACCGACTCTCCAAGAACAGCAATCGTATGTAATTGTGCTCCCTCTGTGTCCAGTCCTCTCTCACCCTTCCTGAATAACTTGGAATCTGCTGGCAGATTTTAACCAGATCTCACTGAACTTTGCAGCAGCTTGAATTGCCTTTGGAGATTTTAATCTCTTGTTCCAAGCTGTGAAATGTCACTGTGGAGTGTGGGGAGCTGGATCCAGGTCAGCTCCTCCACTGGGAGGTGGCAGGGCCCTCCCAGCTGTGGCCCAGCAGCCAGAGGCACAGAGCTGCTGTGGGCCTTGCTTCACTGGCTGGTGTCCCGCCGAGGTGGGCGTAGGGCAGATGGTGTGGGACTGGGTGTGCGGGAGCACGGGGGTGGGAGAGTCCATGGGAGACTGGGTGCCATTTGCTGCTCATGGAACAACTTGTTGTTTTTTCTAAATCTCCCTCGTAGTCCAAAGGCTGTCCCGAGGAGGGTGAGTACGCATGGAGCCAGCACCTCAGTAAGCTACTCAGCTGCTGCCTGCCCCTCACTGTGCTGCCTCAGAGCCCTCCTCTTGATCCCTGCAGCTGCCACCTGGAAAGCTCTTCTCCCTTGTCTCTGCCCCTCAGATCACCTCCTGCTGCTCTGCAATTGCCAAGCTTTGCATATAGCTGCTGATACAGCCCTAACCACCACATGTGAAAGCTGTGCTATAAAATAAAGAAGTTTGGGTTTTTTCTCCCCTAAATAACAGCATTATTGATCTCTCCTGGAATGTTAGGCGTGGTGACGAGGTTCTGGGAAATTGGACTGACTGTTCATTCAGTCTACACAGCGATGGATGATATGTTTCCATTTAGGGGGTATCATCCCATCCTTGGTTCGTGCTTGTGTTCCTGTCTGTGTGGTTAGTGACTCCCTGTGAAACAGCAGCCTCTGAAGCCGTGGTGCTGGTGTGTGGCTCTCTAGCCACGTGGTAGTCCCCCAGAGATGGAATCGGTGACACCGCGGGATGGTGACACGGGCACACGGAGCTGTTACCATCCCTTGGGAAACCCAGAGTGACACCAGGAACTGTCCTGCTGCTTTTAGCGCTGCTTCCGACGGAAAGGGCCAGTGCCAACGAGAGCCAAAACCCCGGGAGTGCTGGAGATGTTTAGCATTTGGAATTATAATAAGAAAATTGTTGTGCTAAGCTGGAATATTTATTCCCATTTCTCACGTGTCTTTATGGAATTGGATAACCAGCACTCTCCTCTGGCCTCCAGGATCCCACAGCATGGAATAACAGCAATCAGGGCAGTGACATCAGAGAAGGTCTGCTGGGTCTTAGGACTTAATTACAGTGAGGGGTTCATGTAAGTGCAGACAGAGTTAGAGCTGAGATTGCTAAAAACATAGAGTGATCTGAGTAGCTGTTTGTGGTGGTTCGGGTTGTTTTTCATTTGCTAGCCAAAACAAAAACTAAAACCAATTTCATAGCCTAGAAACGTCCCGTTCAATCAAAAAATAGTAATTTTTTTCATAATTTTTAGTCCTTAAAAATGAACCTGGATACCAAAGATATATTCATGTATTTAAAAAGCAATGTGAATGCTGAGGAACTTAGAGTATATTTACAGCTGAGGTATTTACCAGGACTGGCATATATTTGTGGCTAGTGTAAGCTGAGACAGTTTCATTTTTCCTGTCCAAGACATGTGCCTTGGTCTTACTCAAGTACCGATAATTTTTCTGAGCATCACAGGTCAAACACAGTGTTTGTCAGATGTTTGCATTTGAAAGCCCCACAGCACTGAGCCCACACACTGAGCAAACAGTGAAGCCTAGGATGGCTCCTCAGTGTCTGCATAACCTGTATTCTAGGCATGTGGTTTATTCACAACCGTTTCTGCTCTTGCAGGTCTGCACCTTGACGAAGGAAGATAACCGCAGAGTGGGTGTGATTCCCAGCGACGAGCAGCTCCACGTGTTGCCTCTGTACAAAATCTCACAGACCGACGAGTTCGGCACTAGGGAGGGCCTGGAAGCCAAGATAAAAGCCGGAGCCATACAGGTGCTCACAGCGTTCCCCAGAGAAGTGCGTATGCTAGCTGAGCCTCTCAGGGCTACGAAGAAAAAGAAATCAGACACAAGGAGGACCCCAAATGAAAAACAGCCATTGATAGATAAAAAATACTCAACACCTGTAAAGCTGAAAACTGAAGCCCCAGAAAACCTTGGCGACAGTTTGCATTGTTTAGGTGAGTGGTGCTGATGAAATTCTGCTGGTCTCTTCTGATCACGTGTTGCCACTTAACACATCTGAGGGGAGGGAACTGCTCCTTAACTCTCAGTTTTAAAAAGTATTTGTGTGTTCTGCGATTGAGGAGCTAGTGACCAAGTCACTGTAGCCAATGTTCTTTGTCTCTTGGTGCAGGAAAAGCAAACCAGGTGATCACCCAAAAACAGTTCGTTGGTGATGTGTGAGCACTGATGGAGTATTTCCAAGCTCCCTCATTCTAATAAATTATGGTAGTAGGATCATCTTGGAACAGTTGTAGGAATGTTTTTCTAAGTGACGTGAATTTCTGCCACTTTGAAGAACAAGAACTGTATTCTCCACTTTCAATGACAGACAATGGTTCTCTTGAAATCCGAGTTGCGATAATTCCCCATCGGCGGCACGGACACTGCTGTGCAGCAAGAGGTCTGCAAAAGACCCCTTAGGGTTTAGCAGCTGACCGTGCTGTTCCAGGTGTGCCTTGCAGTGTTGTTGGTCACGGCCGTGCCGGGGTCGTTCTTCCTGCCACAGGACGTGTCTGTGCAGCACAGAGCTGTCACTGGGCCGAGCTGTGTGGAGCCATTTGTGATGTGCAGTGTGGTACGTGGGGTCAGAGTTTGGGCCAGTCCTTCACAGGGCAGAGTCATTGCGTGGGACTGTGCAGTAAAGAGAGGTAGAACAGAAGGAAGAGGTGGAAGAAGCCATGGACTTGGATTCTCTGATTAGCAGGGGAAAAGTAAATAAAATGATTAAAGCAGAGCCTATTAGCTGTTAGGGAGAAGAGAGAAAAATGAACCAACCTGCTGTAATCCTCAGTTTGATTTCATGAGAGACATCCAGATATATGTAGTAGATGTAAAGGGAAGAATAAAACAAATGCATTTAAAAGACTGTCTGTATTTTGGGGGGATAACATTTAAAAAACAAATACAAATCCTTTCGTCACGCTGATGGCACTCAGCACTCTGCCTGAGCTGGGGAGTCAGGGCGACTGATAACTGCAGATAGCATGGTGGAATCAGAACAAGAAGGTCAGTATTGCTGGCGCCCCCGGACATGAGACAGAGAGTTACTCCACATGCATCTTTGGGGGACACAGTGCAGGCTTTGGAACAAACACTAAAGGACTCCTCGGGCTAAGGCCAACGTCCAACAGCAGTTCTGAAGCGACACTTAATAACTTCCATCATGCTCAGGCAGGACTGAAGGTCCTGGGAGCATTAGAGGGCTCTGGTCTGGGTAGGAATTCTGAAATTGTTTGATCTCCTCACTGCAGTGCTGTTTTGAAACATTGGAATAGATTTCTGTACTGCCTCCCTGTCCATGACATTGGAGTTGCAATGAGGTGTGGCTTCCATATCTGAAACCCTAACAGTGGTACCAGAGCCAGGGTTTTGCCATGTGCCTCGGGAGCACAGAACTGTAGTCCTTGAATGTGCAAGAATAATAAAATAACTGTGTGTACATCATTGCTTTGGACTTGAAGTACTTTCATAAAGTAATTTAAAAAGGCTGCTGATTAAAGTCAGTCACAGAGCGAGGAAGAAACGCTGTTATGAGTGAGAAAGTTGCTCAGGGATGGAAAAATAAAGATGTGAATAGAGTATTTAATTTCTCTTAAAAGTGCAGTTTGTGATGGATGTTTTGCTAATGGAGTTCAGCACTGTAAGCCCCAGATCTGCTGACGGAACGTCCTGCTGCAGCTTAGCCGTGGGAGCAGCTCCAGGAGCCTTTGCTCCCCGAGCAGCTGTGGCAGAGGGAGGTGCCAGGTGCTGTGCTCTGCAGGATGCAGTAACTTGGAACGTTTCTGCACATCACTGGTGTGTTTCCTGCAGTCATGCAGGCTGATGGCCTGCAGCACAGCCTCACCCTCAGTGCAATGCAGAGATCTGAAATCAGGGATTTTGGAGCACTGCAGTATTGTACATACAGGGTGTGCAGTTAGAGGGGATCAGCCATGGCTTTCAGCTTAGACTGTGCCAGGGGGCAGCTATCATTTCAGTCCTGAGCAATGGAAACTCTTGGTCTAGCTGAGAATGTTAGACTCAATATGAAAACAGAATCTAAGGGCCTGGAAGGCAAGAGTTGAAACTAGGCTATTCAGTAGCCACTTCTGATGGTAAGCTAGAGGAAGTTATTATTTTAAACAGCATCCCTTCATATTAATAGTGGCATAATAATAGAAAAATATTTATTACAGTTTTGGGTAAGAAGTTTTTCAGCACTGCTAAAGGTACTTTAAGCAAGGCAGTGTTACATTTTCTCCTGATGTAAGAACAAAAGGATACTTAGCTATACTTCAGCTGTAGAGGAAGAGGTATTAATTCGTGGTGTATGTAACACAGAGTACTCCATTTACTAATGAGGGCAGGAGTTTAGACTATCATTTTGGCTTTTCAAATGTGAAAAAGAATATGGCGAATGTGCCGTGAGACACTTGTGAGTAGTTATTTCCCATTGGGCATGTTTTCAGCCGTGTGAGACTGTCGGTCTCTGAAGCAGCCTGGGAGGCTGATGGAGGAGTGGCAAGATCAGCTATGCCATATTGCCTGTTATATAGGTGTAGCCTGTTCTTCTGGAAGAGACCTGACTGTCATTTGAGAGCCACTGCAGTATCCACCAGTTGGAAAGCTTGAGAGACACCTAACCTGCACGTCGTCACCACCTGGAGCCCTGGAAATTAAAAGGGAGTAAGAGAGGACTCTTTTGGCCTTTTTCCTGTCTTTTCCTGGCAGCAAGGTGGTGGTGAGAGCTTCCAAGTGCTGCAGACAGGCTGTGTCAGCCTGGCAGGGTGTGCAGGTGTGAGGAGTTGGTTGGAGTCTCTGCCGTGCTGAGTCTGTTGTGGAAGGGCTGTATATTGAACAGGGTGCACTACCATGCACCTTTTGCCAGCTGCAGGAAGCACAGCTCTTCATTTTTGCATTTGTGCTAATTCTGGAGGCTTTTGAAATTTAAATTAGTATGAAATGCATGTTAAAGAGAGAGGCCTTACTTCTTCCCTTGCACAGTCCCTTTAACCACATTATTCTGGACAAAACAGAGATGGAAGTGTTAGTTTGTCTCTATTAATACCAGCAATTCTTCTTGGCCCATCTTGGATAGAACGGGAGACGACCCACCAGTTTAGAGATGGTTTCTCAGCTGACTGCAGCAGAGCAGTGACCACTTCAGCCAGCACTTCCCGCTGAGATGCCCCAGACTCTGAACAGGAGGTGTTCCTGGAGAGCACCTTGTCTCTTACTGCTTTCCCTCTGCCCGTGTATTCGAATTAAATTCTCTTAACCTCTGCTACTTTGCCCCACAGAGCAAGAAGCTTCAGGCAAGAGAGGGGGGATTTACTGGAGCCACAGCCACTTTGAGTGCTGTAGATTGTTAAAACTTACTCGCACAGAGTGCAGGTCTCTCTTCAGAGGTGATGGGAAGTGCAGTTCTCAACTCCCTCACCATTTATACATTATTAGAAGACCGAGTGGAAGAAAGAATAGTTCTTCTACACTGGGGAAAGTAATTAGCCATTCTGTGTGTTTATGGAAAAAAGAGGAAACCCTGACAGAGGCAGTCTGTTGTGTATGCAAGAGCTCTCCGTTGGGTGTTGGTCTGCCAGCAAGACACACGTAAAGCAATAGCAGGGCATGATGCAAAGCCCATCCGAGTCAATGGAATTGTTTGCTATTCCTCCCGTGGACTCTGGATTGAACCTACCCATGATGAGACTCAGTCATGTGAGGAGATCGTAACACAGCCCAGCCTGGCAGCAGGGTGCCATGGCTGGAAATTGATTTGGGAGCTGACATAACCTGAACAAGTGTGTCTGCAGAAAGATCAGAAATAATGAATGTGAAGCAGTTAGAAAGATGGAAGACAGCCAGATCACATGATTCCCCTTTGCAGGGATGGGTTTACCTGGAGCATGTTGCCAGATACCTTTTTCACAAGGCAGTTTGAGTCAGTATCGCTGATGCACAAATCACTGTAATTCAATAACTGGTTTGGTTGCAACAGATGAGATCCACAAATGCACTTTTTCCTTCAGTCACAGGATGGGATTAAGGCAGCCCAGGATTTACACAGATTCACAGCCTTAATTTGACACAGGCCGAGTGTCATCCCCTGTGTCAGACCTGAGGAGGAGCAGTCAGCTGCTGGGGAGCTCTGGCATAGGATTGCACCGTGTGCTTTGGGACAGAGTGGTTATTTCACTTCATCTATTCATTCTGTTGATCCCTCTGTGAAATACCTTTTTGTTTTAGGTACCAACAGCCTGCTGGAAAAGGTTAAGCTATTACTTCAGCAAGGTTATTATATATATCCTTATGGTCAAAAAAAGCTAAAAATGCCCATTTTGAAAAATCTGTGGTCTTCATGTACATTTGTCATGTTAGAAAGCAAGTGTGAAAGTATCAGAAATGTATTTTACTAATTGAGGAAAAGTACTCACACTGTGGTGTGCATTTCTTCTAGGGAACAAAGAAGATGCTTTAAAACCTGGAATAAAAATGGAGACTGCTGAGCACCTCTATGCCGTGAAACATACTTCAAACACTACTAAAAGTTGCTCCTTATTAAAACAGTACACAGCTTCCTCCCCATTTAAGGTGGATGGCTTACATCCTTACCCACCCCTGGTGCACAAGCCTGGCCTAACAGCAGTGACGAGTGTCCCCCAAGAGTTTTCAGTTCCGTACGGGTATTTCGAATGCAGTGCCAAGCAACCTCACGTGGCACCTTACGTTACCTGCAAGGACTTTGATGTATCGGTCAAAGACTATCCTGGAATTCTGCTGAACGATAAGATGAACGGTGTGCCACCGATTCTGCCTGAGGTCACTGCTCCAGGCCCTCCAGCCCCCAAAGACCCCCTGCCCATTATACTTGAACATCAGCCAGACAGACAGAACTGTCAGCTTCAGTCAGACAGTTCTCCTTCACAGATGATCAGGTCTTGTGACTCGTCGGTGCCGCCGAGCTCCGCGGCAGAGGACGCGCTCAGAAACGCCGCCGACGGTTCCCACGGGTGCCCGGAGGAAAAGGGCAGCGCCCGTCGAGGACAGCCGCGTGATCTGGACTGTGCTGATGAAAAGCAAACCGGTGCGCTGGGACAGATGGCTGATTCTGAAGAAAAGGCTGAGGAGTTGTGGTCAGACAGCGAGCACAATTTTTTGGACGATGACATTGGTGGAGTTGCTGTGGCACCTTCTCATGGTTCTATCTTAATTGAATGTGCCAGGCGTGAGCTCCATGCTACCACACCAATTAAAAAACCCAACCGCAATCACCCCACGAGGATTTCTTTAGTTTTCTACCAACACAAAAATCTGAACGAGCCAAAACATGGCTTAGCCATGTGGGAAGCAAAGATGGCTGAGAGGGCAAAAGAAAAAGAAGCCGAGAGAGTAGGAATGGAGAATACAGAACTGAACTCTAGCAACAAGAAAGCAAAGCAACCAAGTGAAAACAGAGATATTTTTTACGAAGAGAACGAGTTCAACCAAATTCCATCCCGCAGATCATTAACGGTAACGAAGGACAACGTAATCACAGTATCTTCGTACGCCCTGACACGAGTGGCAGGGCCCTACAACCACTGGGCATAGCTGTCAGGATCACAGCTCCACCTGCTGCAACGTCACACAGTGTTTCTTTAAGGTGCTGTTCAAGAAAAAGTCATGTGTTGTTTACGATTTGCTCATCTCAACCATTTTGAGGCTGAGGTAAAAAAAGGGGGGGGATTTCTTCTTAAACTGTGACTTTAACATTTGGTGGTGCTCAAGCACATTTTAAGCAAAAAAAAAAGGTATAGTTTTAATACATTCTAAAAAAGATTTTGTTTTAGGTTATTAACCTTGATTGAATCATTCAGTTTATTACCTTTAGGAATTTATATTTTGGTGCTTTAAATCAAGGCTGTTTACTACAGAAATCGTGTATAGGGGTTTTAACACGCTCGTGTTTTACGGTGTTAAATCAAGTTATACAGTCACAGCTCTACACAGCTCTTGGTGCTCGACCACATCAAACAGTTAAAAACAAATAAGCTGAATTATTACTTCATGGTGCCATTGCTTTAACAACTTCCAACCATTGCTATAGTCCAAATTACAGGTGCATCTTTTAGAAAGCCAATGAATTCTGCTCTTCAGATTTGTCCTTATGTATAAAGTGAGGTTGTTGGTGATGATGGCTGGAAGTTGTTTTTAAGCTGTAAATATATATTTTAAAAGCACTTTCTATTTTTAAAATTAACTTGAAATAGTGTAGTGTAAGGATCATATTGTCTAAAGTTTGTGCATACTCTACAAAAGAAGTGATTTTTTTCTTGCTGTGTAGAGTTACATATTGTTACAGTTGCAGGATGTGTGCTGATGCATATGTGGTTGTTTTTAGACTTGCCCTTTTTATTGAAGATTTTATGTTGCATATAAATTACAGTTATGAAATACAGAACCTTTTTATTCTTTTAAAGAGTGTAGAGACATGATGTGAGGAGACATCTGCTCATACATGTGTTGCTATTAGGAGTTAGGAATATGATTTGGTTTCTTAGAGGCAGCATTTATTATGGTTTCTTTGAGCAATAAGTGCATAAGTCTCATTAATTTGGAGCATTCTAAGTTAATGTTACAACCAAATGTTCCTAATGCTTCAGGGGTAGGATTGTTTTGGGATTGAAAAAATACCCCCTAGAGTTGCCTTATTCCATTCTGGAAAACAAAACAGTTGGGGAAATACAAAGGAAGTGCTGGAAAATCATGAAATTTCTAATCCTTAGCAGTGATTTTTTTCATTAAGAATAACCTATCTGTAATATTCATCAACTTTGTGTTCAGTTGTTTTACAAAATATGTGAGTTTTTGAAGTGATTGATCCATTTCACGTGGAAAGGGTTGTTTTCCTTCCAAATACAGAACATTTGTTTTCCAGTTCTGTCAAAAGGTGACCTATGGAATAAGTATTTGCTGAATCAGAGGACAAGCAGACACTCCGTTGCGCTGAGATACTGTAACATCCCACTCTTTCTGATTCTCCTCTCCTATGTGTTTCTTTTTTAAACTTATTTATTTAAACCAATTACCAAATGACAATGTTAGCTAAGGACTGACCTCATCCTGCCTCACTTCCACGAGAGCTGCTCTGTGCAGCCGTCCCTGCCCTTGGGAGCCAGGAGCAGCAATCACAGGATTCCTCGGACCAAGAGCTGCAGGATCAGGCACACGGGCAAAGCTGCACCTTCCTTGGCCTCGGCGTCCGCCCTGGCTGGGGAACCTGGAGGTAGAACGAGAGCAGAGTTTTCCATGGTGAAAACATACTAATAATATACTTGATGATACTATTCAGTAGTGGTGCTGTATAGAGGAGTATGAACTATCTAGACCTGCTTTATTTAAAACCCAGACAAGGTGCTTTCCCCTTGCGAAGCTGAAGTGCAAGCAGTCCTTGCGGTGTCGGTACGAGCGCGCGCCCGTGGTGTTCCTAACACACAGTGCCAGTCGGGCCCGTGGTGCTCCGAGCCCTGTGCTGTGGTGCAGACAGCTCAGGCTGTGCTGGCTCTGTGCACACGCAGGTGCTGCTGCAGGAGCCAGGTCTGAAGTGTAGCCGTCGCTGTCTGTCAGCCTGGGGTTCCTCCTGCGGATTTCTGTTCAGACTAACAAAGCTGTTGATGGCAGAGGATGGAGGAATTGAACCTGTTCTTTGTATCTGACCTATTTTAAGTAACATTTGTAAAAACCGGGTATGCTGCAAATTTTAGCTCAGAACTTAGTGTTAGCTCAAATAGAGGATATGAAGGGATTGTAAATATTAATAAAACGGAACCAATATTATGCCATTGTTTTGTACCAGCAGTTTTATGCTTACTGACTATGTAACATACAGTATACATCAAATCATTATGGTATTTTTTGTGCCTTAGACTTCCATTTTAAAACTTGTATATTTTTGGTGAGCCGAAGATTAGTAGGAGTTGCAGCTGTCCATACAGTGAGTAGTTCTATACATTCCCTGGCTAATCCAGTCCTGTGTTTGCCATCTGAGGACCCTTCCCCACCCAAAGCCATCAGGTACAGGCGAGGGTATGGGGCTCGCTAACGGTGCCGACAGCTTCGCTGTTTCTAGTGCTCTAACCGAGCACTCCCACCTGAATTTTTCCAACGGAATTATAAGCTACAGAGCTGTCTCTTTACCTTTTGAAATGTTCATATCATTAAAGTGGATCAGTTTTACTTGACTCTTCCCCGTAAATGCCCGTTCGCTTACATATGGCCGGAAAGTTCAAGATAGAAATGTTCCACTGCAAACCAGCAGCTTCCCTCTGAGAAGTGAGACACTGAAAGGAGGATCTCAACGGATCCTCCCAAACACAGGTAGTGCAAGTCTACCTGCTTTGAAATGGCAATTGTAATGAGAAATGTGTATCTTAACAGAATCGTTAATGCTATTAATTGATAGGTGCTAGAACTCTCAGTTACTACTTCATTAATGTTACTTACAGGAAAAAAGTATATCATCTATACAATAACATATCATTCATGGTGCTCTTTTCTTGACTGTCACCTAAACTGCTTTCTGAATGTGTCCTGCCAGGCAGGTTGGCTTGGCCATCTCCACTTGCTGCTGGGCATGTGGCAGGCTGTGATTTGAGAAGGTGATGTTTTCTATTGCTCTGCTGCGATATGGAAAATGCAACTATTCACTATTTTTACAATTCTGTACTATTTATTGTAACACTTCCAAATATTTTTCAGCCTTGTATGCAAATCACATTATAAGGTTATCATTTTATAGCAGTATTTGTCTCTTAATATTTGTGACTCCCTTGTTCTTCCCTTTGCGGCCCACACAACCACTCATCATTTGCTCATACCCCTTAACCAGGTCCTTCTGGGACAGCTAGACCAAGAGCTGGATCTAAACTTAAGGTAGCTAGAGAGGTCAGAGCTGTGTGTTTTACTTGGTTTCCATCAGCTGACACAATGTTCTGGGTGAAAAACCAGCACAATAGATTCAGGCGTGGACTGGTGCTGGGGTGTCTCTGGATCCTTTGTCACATGTCGTGATCCAGCGTGGGACACCTCTGACTTCCCAGAAGAAACAGGTCTCGTCCCGTTGTCGGGATCCAGTGCCCCCGCGCCGAGGAGCAGTGCTTGCTGCACTGTTTGACCCTCTGAGGTCCTGGGGGAGTCACTGCAGTTGTGCCCACTTAAACAGTGAATTTACTGATTCTCACATGCTACTGTATTATAGAAAGTAGAAAAAAATGTTTCTATTAAATACTTTAGTCAAAAGAGCCAAGAAGCTTTTTAAGAACTTACAAATACTTGCAGCTTTCTACTTGTAATAGTTGTATTCAGATTTTTCGAAGGCCTTTTTAAGCTAACTTTTCCTTAGGAATACCTGCTGGTGAAAATCCTTGTCTTACCTATGACAGTGCTTCTCTAGATTTAGAACAGGAAGTACCTGTATTATCTTAAGCAACATTTTATGTTAAGCGTGGGTAAATGACAACATTTCTAGTACTTAAGACTCTCTGTAACATACAACTGTGTGGGTTTCTTTAAAGAGCTTTTTAATTTCATTGCAGTGTTGGGCTAAAGACAGCGGGTTAGATTTGGGTCCTGTTCACATTGCTGCAGCCCTGCTGACTGCAGTGTGCTCATTCATCAAGCTTTCCTGCACTTTCTGTGTTTCACTGGATGGATGTGGACAGCAGTTGACCGAAGTCTGTGCCAGCTCAGACCCTTGCAACCCTGCCACAATGAACAGGTTGTGCAAGGACAGATGGAGAGAGGTTTGGACTGAATGTTTACTTCTGGTGAAACACAGGTTATTTCTGTTGTTTGTAGCATGAGAGTGATGCAGGTCCATAGAGGGACACAGTACCTACAGCTCAGGTTTCAAGCATGCTGGCAGGTCTGTGTCAGACCATCTCCAGGTCTGAGCTCTTGGCAGCCGTGGTGTTTCTCGCCTGACTGACAGCTGTTCAGTGAGACAGAGGTTATGGAAGCATGCTAGGAATACTGCATCTTCATGGGTTTGGATTTAAAATGTAAGCTCAGTCCTGGCCTTTCACTTCCCGTGAAACTTCTCTCATGTGGAAATTAGCTCCATTTATCAAGCAGTCAGCAGCTTTGTAATCCATTTATATATATGGTTGTTGTCTTTTCCACAGAAGTCCTGTACGTTCTAGGTTATCAAGAGGAAATAACTGTGTGCCCTCAGATATATGAAAAAAATTGCATGGCCACTTCCATGATTTGTGTACATTAACAGCAGTTGCATTCAGGCAGTGTTGGACAAACTTTCTTCCAGGTCTCTTGTGGTCACCACAATTCAGATTAGGATCTTTGTGATGTCTGCTCCATAAAACTGTGGTTTATTCTTGTGGGAAAGGTGTCTGCCCAGCTGTGACCCGTGATGATCTGCTCTTGCTTAAATAACACAGTTAGAGATGAGGAACAGTTCAGCAACATTTGGAAATTCTGGCTTACTTCTTTTTTTCCATCAGGTGTCGATCTGACTTGCAGGAGGAAGCGTGGAGGGAATATCTTCCAGAAACTCAAGCAGTAAACAAAGTTGCCATTGGTTGTTGTGACACCAC